TTGCCCAGACGTTGCTGCTCTTGCAGCGCCTTCTGGAACCCCCGCGGCGCACCGTCGAGCTGGCTGACCTGATGCCTTCACCAAGCCTGCATGCCCATAAACTCCCCGGCTATGGAACAGCTGCGACGGGTTCGGCCTGGCGCGAGGCTGGGCGGGGGCCCCGCTCCTCCCGGCACCAGCGTCGGGGCCCTATGCAGCCCTGGTTGGGTGCTCGGCCAGCCTGGGCATAGCCGGCAGGCTCGCGACTCCTAGCCCTCGCGGAGAGCCGCCGGGCCCAGGCGGGGATTACTAAGTTTCAGCAGGACGGCCGCGGCCGGCGCCCTGAGAGGTGGAGCGCAGCTGGGGGCAGGCTGGGTACAGCCGACTCCAGTGGTGGGACTGCGAGCTCGTGGGCCGCGGCCTTCCAGCGCGCGACGTGCTCCTGGAGCGCTGTCTGCTCGTCCGAAGACTCAGCGGCGGCGGCGAGGTGGGTGGCGCAACTGATCAGCTGTTCCAGCACCTCCGAGACCTCCTCACCGAAGCCAGCCGCCTCGTTCTGCGTCGCAGACTGATCGCTGGCCCCACTTGTCCGTGCTTCCAAGCAGGCGCCCAACATCGCCTCTCCCATCTCGTGGCTGTCCGGAGGTGGGGGGCCCGCGGGCGAAGCGGAGCGCCTCTCGCTTGACCGCTGCCCGAACCGACGGATAGGAGACTTCGGTGTGCTGCTGCGGCCAAGGCGTTCCCAGTGCTTCTTGAACTGCAGGTCCAGTGCGTCGACCTCGCCGTCGACGCAGTCTGGGGAGGGCCCGGTAGACCGAGTCGCTCCCCGCCAGTGCAGAGGCGCCACCACTGTTTCGGCCGCGATGGGCGCAGCCTTTCCTCCGACGGGGGCGCCTTGCCAGGTCTCGAGCTTGGCCCAGGCGGGGTTCGGGAGGGCAGCGGCGACCACCGCGATGCCCAACTCCTGCGCGCCCAGCGAGGGACAGTGGAGCAGCTACTCCAGAAAGCTCACGGGGAGGCGACCAGTGCTGCTCGGCTTCGGGGAGGGCAGCACCCCGTCCTCGGCGACCTTGAACACGAGCCCAGACATGCGACGTCCTGATTTTTTCAGAACGGGGTCCCTGAAAGTCCCGACCTGTTCCCCAGGACCCGCTTTTCATCCTGCGTCGTTTTTTGACGGTCCCGAGGCCTGGCGAGGGCCCCCTGAGGCCGAAATTGGCCAAAGACTTGCCGACCTGATTTTTTGTTGCGACGCGAGCATGTCTGGGAGAACGTCATCCTCTGGGCTGTGGGTCTGCATCGCAGGCCGCCCGCTCTCGTCGCAACTCGCGATGCGGCCCAGGAAGATCGCCCACTGCGCTCCGGTCTCCCAGCGAACGCGGGCACGCGCCAAGACGCGCACGCCCATCTGAGGCGAATCCGCGTCCACCTCGGACGTCGGGCGGGCGGGCGAGCCGCTCCTCGACGATGTCAGGCTGTCGGGCGCGAAGCGCGCCGTCTGCGCGCCCGCCGTCGGCGGCGCGGGTGCCGCACGCCTCACGGGCTCTGCTGCCGAGGCCCCAGCTCCCTGCCCCTCGCCGGCGGAGCTCGGGCTCTTGCTCCGGCCTGGGCTGCGAGAGCGCGCGACTCTGCGACGCAGCCCGGCCCGGAGCCTGGGCGTCTGGGCGGCGGTCGCAGCCCTGCTCGCGTCCCCACCCACATGAATCGAGCACAGTGGGGCGCCTGCGGCAGTACCCACCGCCTGGCGGAAACAGGTACCTTGGGAACACCTGTCTCGGTAGCGCGTGGCTCGATAAACATGGCCACGATGAGCGCGCGCATGCGACGCTGCATTCCGCCCACCAGAAGGCGCTGGCAAGTCTGAAGCCCTGGCGTCATCCAGTAGGAGTGCGGCGGCCTCTGGGCGGGCTGCGTCGCGACACCCGTCCAGCGCGAGGGGCCTCATCCTCCCCTCGATCCCGGCGCCTACCTTGATAGCTTCGCAGGGCCGATCCTCTTGTTCGACTTCGGACTCCGACTCCTGGTCGAGTGGCCCGGCCACTGCCGAGCTGGCATTCGCTTCGCCTGGCGCCAGTGGCGTCGCCAGCGGCAGCACCTGCGGCCGCAGAACAGGACGCAGAGGATGCAGAGGCCGATCTGCAAGCAGCCCCGCCCGACGTACCAGATTACCGCGCGCCACAGGGGCCGGGCAAAGGCAGGCCGCGAAACGGGCACGGGCGCCCAGGTTCACGATGGCCTCGGCATCGATGGAGGAGTACCCCTTGCAATGGAGCTCCTCGTCCTTCGCCTCGCACGCGCGGCTCCGACTGAGGCGCAGCTGCCTTGGCTCGGCCTGCTCCAGCTTCTGACGCAAGCCGCAGGACCTAGACTCCCCACTCCCGCGCCCAAGTTCCCTCTGGTGGCGAGGGGTCCCCAGATTGATCACCGAAGTCGGCCCCGGCTGGGCCGGCGGGAAGTTCTGACCGAAAGATCCTCCGGTCCGAGCGCGGACCTGGATGGACCAGCCTGCGGCGTGGGGCGCGTTCTCGGCGGGTGGTGCTCTGCCGGCGGCGTCACGCGCTCGCTTGGCGCCTCTGCCTCCCCCCGACCTCGCCCTCCTCCACGTCCTCGTCGGCGCAGTAGCGGATGGCGCTGACCTCGTCCGTGGGGACGTCGAGGAGCGGCTCCGCCGTGGGCTCCGCGCCGGCCATCGAGAGGCCGAGGAGCCGCGTGTTCCGGCCAGCTGCGCCCGGAGGCGCAAAGCCAGGCTGGCCATGAGCAGCAGTGGTGCGGCGCCGCGATGCATGGCCGGTCCCGCTGCGCGCCGCGGCATGCCGCGCTGAGTGCGGTCGGGCCCGACCACCCAGGCCCCCAGGCCGGCTCCCAGCTCGAACCCAAAAGGCACCTGAGCCCCCAATGGGGAAAGAGGAGAGGAGGGGGAAGAGCTCAGCAGAGGCAGAGCAAGGAAGGGGAAGCACAGTATGGGGCTCCTGCGGAGTGCGAGGGCCAGACGCTCAGGCAAACAACTAAGAGAGTTGTCAGGACAGAACTGGAAACAAGAAGTCGTATGTCTTTCCCCCGCAGTGTCTGCTTCCTGCAGGAAGCCCTGAAGAGGGTAAGGAAGCACGGCAAAGAGAAGAGAGACAACAAAATGAAGCAGGGCGAGAAGGGACACGGGTTCGTCTGGGCTGCCTGGGGACCTCTTGAAGCGTGTTCGAGGCTGGGGCCGTATTGGAGCGTTCTGGGGGATTTCTGGAACCCTCTTCGAGGCCTTCTGTGGCGCCCTCGGGGTTCCCTTGGGAGCCTTTTGGAGCCCTCTGGAGCCTCTCTTGGACTGTCTTCGGGCTCTTGGGGGCCTCTTCAGCTGTCTTGACATCGTCTTGTGCCGTTTGGGGACCGCCTTGGGCATCTGAAGGGTGCCCCTCCAAGTGGCGTCTGCCCATCCTGCCACCGTGCCTGGGTTGTTGGTCTGAGACCTCTTGAATGCATGTTCGGGTCTCTGGAGAAGCCTCTGCTCTTGGGGCGCCTTTCGGTGCCTCTTGGGCTGGTTTGCAGCCCTCTTGGGCCGTCTTGGGGACATCTCGGGCCGTCTTGGGGCTCTCGTGGGAGCCTCTTGGGACGTATTGAACGCTGTCAAGATCAACAAAAAAGCGGGTGTGCTAGAAATGTGCGTCTTCCAACAGGGAATGAAAAGATGTGTGGCTCTTCGGGCCCTCATGGGTGTCCTCTTGAAGCCGTCTTGGTGCGTCTTGGGGCCGTCCAGAAGCGATCTTGGCCCGTCTCTGACCGATTTGGAACCGACCCGCAAGCTCCTGGGGGGCCAGGGAAGCTCGGGGGAGGCTCCAGGGAGGCCCGGGGAGGCCCCGAAGGGGGGGGGGGGGGAGGGGGTGAACTTAGTGTATTTCAATGGCCCCTGGCGGTCTTCGGCCCGGGGTGGGCCCGCGGCAGGGTTTCTGGTGTACGAGAGATTGCACTTGTTCGTATTTTACGCCGTCGCCCCATGGTAGATCGACCGACGCATGTGCGGCCTTGATCAACACCGCGCGATGTCTGGCAGCGCAGTGGGGAGCACGGCACCGTCATCCTGGGCTGGGACGTGCAGTGTCGCAAGATGCGCGGCTGCGAGCCGCTCGGCATGGGGAGCTGTTGTCCCCCTCCTCACGTCTGGTTCTTCTGCCTCCCCGCTCTATCGGCCAGGATGGGCGGGGCCCCCGATCCCCGAGCGATGTTCATCGGACGGGAATAGGGGCGGCGGCTTTCCCCTGCCAAGGCCGGGGCGCTCTGAAGAACAAGCAAGCAAAAAAAAACATGCAAAAAAGCGCATGCGGGCTTGGGCCCGAAGGGTGGGCGGACTGATGCCTCGAGGTGGTCAGACACGTCGGTGCCTGCACCTAATCTTGCAGCCTCGGCGGGCGCAAATGTTGCACGCACAGACATCGTCGCGCTCTCGCATCGCAGACCGACCTGAGGCGGAAGTACACCCTGCGAAATGCTTAAGAAATCATGGGTTAAGAAATTCATAGTCTCAGAAATTGAATAAAACCCAGAACTTCTATCAAAATCTTGGGATTTACATTGAAAAGTTAAGAATAATCGAGACTCTGGACGAAAACTTAGGTTTTCTTAAGCATCGCCTAAGGTGTAGACTTGTCGGAGCAACTCCGCCAAAGCGACGCAAAAGAGCACGCGATGCCTGTGAGAGCCATCGGTTGCATGTGGTCGGGCTGTTGGCCCAGAAACTGTGTGAGCTATCGGGGGATCCACAATGGCAGCGGAAGACTGATACACTTACCCGTCGGTCAACAGAAGTGTGCAGAAGCACGAAGTAGGAAGGCGCTGACGGTAGATTGGGCTTCCGCCCGCCCCCTGAAGGAGGGAAGAGTGAACACCGCTCGACTCTTGAAGTACGGAGCAGACTAAAGCAGATTGAGACCTGGACATCCAAAAACATCTACTTTCAACGACGGGAGTGTAATACAGTCACAGGAAAAAAGAGAGAAGAATTCATCCCACCTCCAACCCTCTCTGTTGGCCTGGGGAACCTCCCTCCTCCACAGCCCTCCACCCCTTCCGCCCAGCCAACTCTCATATGCTCTGAGATGCTCTGTGTGCGGAGCCGCGCGGCTATCCGCGGTCGCAGTCGCTGCACCCCTCGTCCGCGTGTCCGAGAAGATGCCAGAAGAGAATGGAGGCGAGCTCGTTCCAGACCTCCGGCTGCTGACGCTGCAGGCGCATGCTCCACCCCTCGAGGTGGCGCAGAAAGTCCTCTGCCTCGGCGCAGGAACCCTCCTGGCCGATGCCGACCGCTGCAAGCTGCACCAGCATGTCAATCGCGCGCCTGTGGCCCTCCAAATCGCCCCCCTCCCGCGCCGGCGGCCCGTTGCCCGTTGCAGTGGCGAGTCTTTCCACCGTCTGGCCGTACGCCTCGAGGAGCGCCTGCAGTTCGGGGCCGCGGACCCGGGGCTCGGGGAAGAGCCCAGGCAGCGCGTGCTCGATCAGAGGGCTGGTCTGGTCTGGCGCCGAGAGGAAGCCCAGCCAGACAATCCTCGGAAGGGCCACGAAGAAATCCGCGTCGCAGTCTGCGCCCAGTGTCGCCAGTGCAGGCGCTGTGGCGCACGCCGCGCGCACAAAGGCGGCGGCGCAGTTCAGGCCGCGCATGAGCCTCGGGTCTGCGAGGTAGCGCGCCGTGGCGGACATGCTCTCCTGAAAGCGAGCGAGGTTGGCGACGAGGCCGGGATTGTTCGCAAGCTGGCCGTCCACGGACTCCAAGTCGTGCCAGGCGATGCGTAGGTAGTCCCGGACAGCCTCAAATGAGTCTGTCGCCCGGGTCGCGAGGGCGTGTGCGAGGTTGGGTCTCTGGCGGTGATTCCGCAGCCTAGCGGACTCCAGAATGGACTTGGCCTCCAAGAGGGCTGGTGTGACGAGACTCAGATCAGCAGCGCGCATCCCACTCTCGTCACGGGCTGCGGCGCTGAGCAAGCTGATCGCCCTCATCAGCTCCCCGAGCTGCTTCTGGCAAGCCGCCGTGCCGCCGCGACGGCCGCGGCGCCCGGACGCCTGCGACAGGACCCGCTCGCAGACGCACGCCTCCGCCAGCAGCACTCGAGCCTCCTGTTCGATGGCCATGGCTTGCATCACGTACGCGCACTCGAACTTCGCCCAGGCAGCATCAAGCTCCTCCAGGGCGCACCACATCTCCGCTTTCGAGTCCATGCTCCATGGCCTCGCGGCGAGCTGGTCCACGAGCAGGCGCTTCAACAGCCTCCCGAGCTCCGCCCACGCGTGCCGCATGAGGCCCGCAAGGTCCACGGCCGTCGGGCCGAGCTCGAACCAGCACCCGTTCATCCAAATCATCTGCGTGTTGCTCGCCTCAAGAACATCCACCCAGAACACCTGGGACAGCCCAGGCAATCTGCTCTGGTACTTTCGACTGAAGGACTGGCGGCAGTGGCGTGATGCGGGCTCCACCTGGAACACCTGGAAAGCGGTGATCAAGCACCGGAGGTAATTCTTCACGACCATGTACCCCGTCTCGCTCTTCGTGTCGACCTTCCTCTCCGTGGTGACCACGAAGCGCCTTCGCCACGAGACCAGCGTGCGCGTTATCTTCAGCTCCTCCGGCGTCCACGAGCTCGGCGCCACCATGCGGGGCAGGTCGCGGTGTGGGTGGTGTTTGATGCTGAGCGGACCAGCTGTGGCAGAAGGGCAGGGGCCCGAGGAAACACCGGGCTCTCCGAAGTTAAGCCAAAATGGCTACTCCGAGTTTCTTAATAAGCGTCGGGGTGGCGTAACCCCCGCCGACAACCCCACGTCGACCCCAGTCGCGGGCAGCCACCGCGCGCCGAAGGCGCTCCGACCCCCGTCGCGGCGCGACGACGAGGCGAGGTTGACCCCCGTCGGGGGGTTAGCCCCCCGACGCTTGTTAAGAAACCCAAAGTACAGAGAGGAGGAGGCATGGAGAGGAGCGGAAGTAGCCAGGAAGAGAGGAGCAACACAAGCGAGGGGGGTGTGCGTTGCTCCACAGCGACGCGGAAGCCGGCAGGGAGCCTGCGGGGGCTCTTCGGCGGTGGTCGGATCCGATCGGCGGCCCCCAGGGAGCTGTCACCGGGGGGGAATGGGCCGCCCAGCGTGTTCCAAGGCCGTCTGAGAAGCCTCTCTAGGTCGTCTTGGGGCTTCTGGGGGGTCTTCTTGAGCTGTCAAGGATGGCCTCGGGGGGTCTCGACGGCCGTCGTCGGGTGCGTATTGGGGTGATGCTGGGGCCATCTTGGGTCCCTCTTGGGCAGACGGGGTAGCTTTATGGGGGCCTTGTCAGGCGTCCTGGGGGTGTCACAAGGCCCCATCCACAGGGATGATGTGCGAGACTTGCAAGGGCAAGAAAGGAGAGGGAAACAGTGCGGCCCGTGTGGGTTCCCTGATTGTCCGTTTCAGGACGTGGCGGGGCTCCTCCAGGATACGGGGGGCGGATTAAGACGACGAGGAACGGAGGAGCTGGAAGGCAGTAGGATGCAGGAAGGGAACGGCAGGAGCGAGGAGGGGGCGCACAGGAAGGTTCGCAGGAGAGCGGATGGGGGGCTTGATGAAAGTCCTCGGGATACTTGTTGGAAGACTTTGTGGAGATGGAGCTTGCGACGCGGGGTCCGTACAGCAGATTGGTGTCGTGCCGAAGGCGTTGGCTCCTGACACCGCGGGGATCGTTCAACCATGAACGATTAGCCGTTTCCGAAACGTCTGATCGTTCAACATCGACCGATTCTGGGTCGCCGGCGGCGTTCAACGTTGAACGCTGGCGGCGGGGTCGCCGCCAGTCGACACGACGCGAAGCTACCGTACACTTGGAGTGGGCAATGCGAAGCCTCCTGAAAGCGCGAGAAAAGCCTCCGGAGTCTGATGGGATCATACTATGGAGGAGGGTCCCTGCGCCTCTCGGGGAATCTCTTCGGTTGTTTTGGCGCGCTCGTGGAAAGGGGGGCGACCTCGGAGCTTTTCGTCTGGGCTCTGGTGTCGATTATCCGGTTCTGTCGAAGCGGTGAAGCGCGGAGTGGGTTCTCTCCAGCTGTCGTGAGATCCTCTCGGGCCTTGTTGGCGTCGTTTTGGGGGCTCGTGGGGCTCTCCTTGGGGCCCTGAGGAGTCGTCGGGGGTCTCGTGGGACGATCCTTGAGCCTTTTTCCAAAAAGGCCTCTTCGGTCGTCTGCGGGGCCGCTCAGGCCGTCGGGGCACCTTATTGGGGACCTTGTAGGCCGTCTTCGGGTGATCTTTGGGACCTCTTGGGCCGTCTTGGAGCGTTGACTATTCGGGCTTTGAATTTTGACTCTTAGGGCTTTCTTGGAAGGCCTCTTGGAGACCTCCAGGGGCGTCTTGGGGGCTTCTTGGCCAGTCTGCGGACCATCTACGACGGTCTAGGCCTATCCGTCGGCGACTACCCCCCCCACACCCCAATGGGGAGACACATACAGGAACCCCTCCACAAGGTCGGATGAAAACGAATGTATCCCGCGAAACGCACGTCGATTGCCGACACCGACTGCGGACTGCACCGGCACACTCGGATGCCACTGTCGAGTGAAGCACCGCCGTGTTCCTCAGTCGACATGTCTTGGGCGGACGTTCTCGCAATGCCCCACAAAAAGGCCCCAGGACGGCCAAAGACCCACCCAGGACGGCCCAACGATGGTTCTCCCGAGCTGCCTCTGGAAAGCTTCGCGGGCCGCGGCGACACCGACACCGACACCCAGGGCCCAGCCCACGCGCCAGGCGCGAACGCCGGGCGTCCCACGGCGGGCTCTGCGCCCGCCACCTCTGTCACCGTGCGGGGGCACGCCGCCCCATCGACGCTTGGTGGGCAAGCCACCCCTGAATCACCCAACTTCGCGGGTGGCGCCCGGCCACGCGCGAGGCGGGCCTATTGCCGCGCCCCCGCGCCGCAGCCCTGGAGGAGGGCGCCTCTCTGACCCGGGCCGCAGTGCTGCAGCGCGATCATCGTCGCGACACCCATTCCAGCGTCGACATCAGCAGCACACGCAACAACACCAACAAAAACAGCAACAACACGCGACAACACACACGAAATAAAGAATGATGAACACACACAGACACGTACTACCCGAGCAACGTACCCGAATAGCAACAATGGTGAATGGCACGAGGAGTAAGAGGTCGGTTCGTTTAAGGTTTTTGTTTACCCAACAAAAAAAACCCAGGTACCCCTAAAGATCCCAGGGCCTCGGCGACTCGAGACAAGGGTGAGAACATGACCATGTGCATGTTAGTGCATTTTCTACCTGGGATCGTGGTCGTCTGGACCAAAGTAGTGGGAGCAAGTTGCAAGGACAACTCAAGCCTAACGGCTGCTGGACCGTTTCCAGACCGGGCGGAGTCGGGTTCCCCGTCCCCCCCCCCCCCCCGTGGGAGTTTTCTGTGGCCCCCTCTGTCAACAGCTATGGAAGCCTTCCAACGAAACGAGATACGGCAACAACGAAAAATAGCCGCAATACACAATAAGAAACAAGAGGCAACGAATCGAAAACACACACACACACTCGCACGAACGCACGCACGCAAGCACGCACGCAGGCAAGCACGCACAATGTTCAAGTCAGCGGCGCAGAGTAACCTCAGGCGCGGTCTCAGGCGCGGTCGGCTGGCGGAGCTGCCAGTTGCGAACGAACCTAATCGATCGCGCCATGATGGAAAAGCCCACTCGTGGCCATGCTGAAGGGACGAACGAACGAACAAGCTGTCATCGCCACAGAGGGCGACCCAGATATGGGCAACAGGCGTGCGCGAGCACGCTGGCCCTTCGGAAAGGACCTGTAAAAATCAGCACGGTGCACGCACCACTCATGTCCATGAGAAGTTCACGAACTCATCGTCGTGCTTGTCCCAATCGGCGGTCGTGGCTGCATAGGTCCATTGGCCTCAATGTTGAACAGTTGCGAACATGACCAATTCGTCTTCCCATCTGCGAAATCCTCCTCGCCGATGGCTCACTTGCCGCGAACGTGAATGTTTGTCTTGGTGGCTCCACCATTCAGCGTCCCTCCACATCGTGGCTCTTCTTGCCCATCTTTCGTTGCGCATGTTTGCGAGGCGGCCAGCCCATTTCCATTTTGCCCGCAAGTTGGCTTTTAACCAACAAGAAACTTCTGCGTGCACCGTTTTTTGCTCCGATGCGCGGGTTCCTCGCTTCACCCATGTGATATAATATTCGACTGGCTATCTCCTGGGAGCAACCAGTTCTCGTAGCATGGCTCTCTGCGTCGTGCGCAGCCGGCGTTTCTGCGATACTGTCAGGCTTCACGTCTCCGAACACTATCAAGCAGTCTTTGTGACCGTGGCGTCGAAGAGACGGAGACGCCGCACCTCAGAAACATCACGTTTTCAAGCAATAAGGATTGCAGCGCATGGAGTTTACATCAAGCTGCCGCCAGTCGAACCAAGAAACACCGAGAGATGATGATTGAAAAACCACGCAGCGGCCAAAACCCGAGGAGCACGATAGCTCGACTCAAGGCGACCTGAAACGATGGTACAAATTACAGCCTGTAGAGCTGCCAAACCAGCCGAATTCTGGACGCCCGAAATGGGTACGGAAACCATGGGTACAATGCCCAACATCAAATGTTGTCCCAAACCAACAGCGGTCGTTGTTGGGTAGGCGGCCTTCTCTCAAATGGACACAGGCCGCGGTGGCACGGACAGCGAGTCCTGTTCAAAATGAACAGGAACTGATGTTGGGCATTGTACCAATTCGTTTCGTAGCCATATCGAACGTCCAGACGAATGGTGGGGCAACGCTGAGAGTTATGGCATGGCGACACGATGGGTAGGGTGCTGCACTTTTTTCTCCAGCAAACACCCACGAGCCTCTGCCCTTGCTCCGAAACTGTATACAATCCGCTTCTCCTCAAGGGGGCTATCACAACTCACATCGTACGGCTGCGAGGCTCTACAGCGGCAGAAATCGACAGTGACAAAAGGCAAATACAGGAATATGAGCGCAGGAATTCGCATGCCCTCCAAAGTGATATTCGGGCTACTCTACGGAAGCACCACCACCAAAACAGAGGTGATACGCGACAGCACCGACCCTAGGCCATGCTCAGGAATCCCCCACTCCAAATGAGCAATGACAGCCACAGGGAAAGGAAGAGGGGAGGAGGAGAGGGGAAGAAGGGGAGGGAGGAGAAGGGAAGCAAGTATTGGAGCGGTGTGAGTGCATTTCCCCATGACCCGAACGACCATTCATATAACCGGGCATCACACAACACCAATCAATGAGCCACCTCATTGCGAACCAGCGACGCAAGATGAATTCCATGGGGCATGGGCGGAGCGCTAAACCTACAGGCCGCGGCAGCAACACAATAGCGGACCCGACGCTAAGACCCGACGGAGCATAGCACATGTGGAAACGCGTGCAAGCGAGGCCGAAACCAATCCAAAGAAGCCACGCCGTGAATCCCAATGAAAGCCCGGGCCACCAAGAAAGGCCAATGTCAGTGACGCGCCCGGGCTGGCCGAAAAAAGGCTACGATCAGGCACCGGCCCGCGCAGCTCGAGCAACGCAAGTAGAAGCGCGAGGTGCCCTTTACACACCGCCGTCTAGGTCGCCACCAAACAAACCCAGGAAGTCTCAGACAAGACGCGGAAGGCGCCGCGAAGATCGCAGAAGGCCCAGTGGAAAAACCGATGAAGAAAAGCACCACGTGCACGACAGACATCGGCGGCGGCAACTCAATTTGGAGTCCCGAAACGGTGCGGTGACGGACCGTGCGGTGACCTCGAAACCCCCCAAGACCTCACCGCACGGTCCGTCACCGCACGGTGATGGGACACTGGAGGCCCCTGTCGCCCGAGACATCCTCGGAGAGGGATTCGAGTCCCAAAACCGTGCGGTGACCCCGAATCCACACCGA